GGACAATATTTCTCACCAATGGCCAGAAATGTACTTGGCTTCATGTTGATTACTGCCATTAATTAATTAACTACTGTACTAAATAGGACATTCAAGATTGGAGATGTAATAGCAATAGAGGTTGCTATCATTGTAGCATTCAGGGGCATCGCTAGCCCAAATTGTCAGGCATTTGGCAATTTATTGTATCGGCAATCAGGAAATTGTTTTCGTGGCCAGCATGATTTGAATTGGATAGGAATGAAAAAAACTGAGTTTTTGTTGTCCCTTCTCAGAGTAGGTATGTGTTGTTTTATGGTGTAAATAACAAGTTTTGATATTGCAATCAAACTGACAGGGTAGTTGTCATGACCATGGTAATAAAAATATTTCTATGGCTTGGCATTTACATTGGGCAATTTTTTATCATTCATCACAAAATTATACCTGCACCCTAGGTGGTTCCCTGCAGGGGGTCATAACCAGGGGAAGCTGATGAAAATGAATTCTGGTATTGGTGGCTAATCACTATCATTTAATATTTTTGTGAATAGAAAATTTCTTTAAAAAAGTGTATGAATTTATTAAAAATATTTGTATGGTTTCCCAATCTGGAATTCATACTTTGTAACATTTGGATCAAAAGGTTTATGACGTTTTCTTGGACAGAATCCAATTAATACAACCTCGTACAGAGCTTCATTGAATTACTGTGTGGACAAGATTAATAAAGGGATTGCCTTGGCATATTGTACTACTCAATAAATTAAAATCGTTAAATACTTTCTGCTACAATTAGCTGTAATATTATACTGTATACTATTGTGTTTCATATGATGTCATAAATTTGACGGGGGGTCAACTCTAAATCGAGACACAATTAATACAACCTCGTACAGGGCTTCTTTAAATTACTGTGTGGACAAGATTAATGAAGGGATTGCCAATTTGGCATATTGTACTTCTCAATACATTTACTGTAAATCATTAAATACTTTCTGCTACAATTAGCTGTAATATTATACTGTATATTATTGTGTTTCATATGACGTCATAAATTTGACGGGGGGTCAACTCTAAATTGAGACACAGTCATCAAAGTGAATTAATTTTTCACTGTATGTGTTGGCCTTGTGTTTGGTGGCAAATACATGCAATTTCATATCATTTGCTCACTCCAGTACAGCATAAGCATCAATACATTTTAGGTTGACCCCACGTCAGAACGTGCAAAATGCCATAGTGAAACCCCAGAATTCATTATATGTATTAGGTGTATATGTAGACTGGAATACAAGTTAATATCACTGCCTGCGAAATTGTGGTTTATTTAGAGAATAAAGGTTTTTTGAACACTTCTATAAATAAATTATAACAGCAAAAGATTCATATGCACGTACCCATATAGGGAAAGGTTACATGCTACAAGTTAAAATGAGTATTACATACTCCTGCACTTGAAAAGTTTACAGTACAGTATTTACATTAAATAATAAAATATATAACAGTGAATCCCAAGATTGGATTTATTGAAACTAGTCATTGGCTAGTTCTTCGCAATTAAATAACACAAAGGCAAATTAATAAAAGTTATTAACCATTTCTGACACAAATAGTATTTGCAAAATATAGCACATATTTGATATTATAGTCAAATAGTACAGTGTACTGACAATACTGTATACTATGTATAGATTAAAACTACAGAAAACCTGTACAACAGAAATATGAGTAAAGTTTTCAAGCTCCGTTTAACTGTTGTGATATTATACGCATTAAGTATACGTTTCTTTGCATTTCCTTTGTAGTATTAGTATATAGCACAGCTCTGAAACACCAAAAACAATATTCGTACACTCCTAAACGGCCGCCATGTTGTATATAAAAATATACGGTTAAAAATTAATTTTTGCAAAATTGCAACATTCCATTGTATACCAGCAACCAATCATATTCATTTCTGACATGGATTATCCCAGAGCCTTCGTTTCCTTCCCAAGGATCGCAGGCTCGGGGAACGAGATTGCGCTTGGCGCTGATCTCTGTGATGCTCTGATTGGGTTTCGTGCATTTACAGGTACAGCATGTACTGTACAATAATAGTTATCCTTACAACTGTTATCTTATAACTGATAAGAAGAAAGAGGCGTAGGGGTTATTAAGTGCCAATATCGTGCTTATGTATTTATCGTGTTCCGACAGGGCCATTAGTAGCTATATGTATTAGTTGTTAATGGCCCTGCCAGAGCAAACGACATAATCGGAAACATGATATTTCAGTTTTCGTGAAGTCCAGTACACAATACTAACTTATATACAATAATATGTTATCCACCGATGTTTTGTTTATTATGGTTACGACAGTACTAGTGCTTTCTACGGAAAAGGAAAAACAAAGACATTGAACACATTAGAGAAATATCCAGAGTTCTTATTGACTTTCAAATCACTTGGACACAGTCGCCAACGAGTTGTTTAAGAATATACAAAAATATGTCTGTGTTCTGTATGGTCAGTTTTCAACAGTCGATGTCAATTAACCTTTTCAGTATTGGTCAATATTCGGAGAGTACAATGCCATGTACAAAAGATGTGTTATTACTTCACACAAAACGTGCGTCATATCAAGCATACTTATGGAGAAATGCACTCCAAGCAACGCTATCACCCCCTCCGATCAGTGAGTTTGGTTTGGAGATCAACGATGGAAATGTTCGAGTGAAGTGGATGACTGCCAGCAGCTCCAGATGGAATTGTCGAGAATGTTAACTGTGGATGCAAATCAGGCTGTTCAACAAGGAGATGCGCGTGTGTGAAGGCAGAATTGAAGTGCCAGTGTCTGTGTGCCTGCCGTGATTGTTTGAACATCGAAGGCGATGGAAACAAGATAGCAGACGATGATGATGATGATTATGATGATTATGATGATTTCGATGATGAAATTTTCGAACAGCAGAGATGTTTTGAAAAAGAGAAAAGTGCCTGGAGTCAGGTAATGACCTGTCGTAATACCTCGAACGAGTTGCGGTCCAGTGTAGGTCGAGGTTGTATGAATAACATGGTGTAAGTATTATAAGCTATAAACGATTCCCAGCTTATGTGACCAACGAGAGACACATCAAAGACGCAAAAACAACACACAATCGATCAAATATATTTATTTCTACAATGTCAATGAACGAATGATATAAATCGATAAACGATGATGATGGTTCTAAATAAACAATAAAGGTTCATCACAATCTATACTTATCCCAAGCAAAAAAGTCATAAATCAAATGTTTTACCTCGTATTTAGGCCACTTCCACGTACAAAAACTACAAACTATATATTGTATATGACCAAGCACATGGAATAAACAACTGCCCCTAACTCATCCGGGCACTTACATAAATTATCATAAATTACCGTAATTACCGTCTCGATCCTATATACCAGCCCCGAACGACCTACTATACTGTCGTTCAAAAATTATCAAAAAGGATCGAGATCCACAGTTCTATCGATTACCAATAGTCACTTGCGCAAGTATAAAGTTTTCTCTTATTTCAACTTCTGTCGTACTTCTCACGACTTCCAAAACAACGTCATCACCAAGCTTGTCCGATAAAGTAAGATTGAACAAATAAAATTAACATCAACAACATATATAAACTGTTCGTAATAGAGTTTCTTTAGTCCCGTTTACTCCGAGTCGAATTTCTCCAGGAGACACAATTTCCTAACATCACGTCGATATTGAGTCTGATTGGCTGCACGAATCAACACTTGTCTAACATGTCCATTCTTATCTGGATACGATTCTTCAACTACTGCTAGAGGCCATTCACCTCGTGGACAATCCTCCTTCACCATCAAGACAATATCTCCTTTGGTTAAATTTCGTCTGGGAAACAGCAACTTCTGCCTCTCCTGTAAGCTTGGCAGGTACTCTTTCAACCATCTTGCCCAGAATTCGTCAGCTAATTTGTGCGCTAACTTCCATTTCTCTCGAAGGTTATAAGTCGACGCTGAGGTGTTTGCCGAACTACTTCGATTTCGA